TAGTATATTCAAACTTAGTATAATTTGAAAATGTCTGTTGTCTATATCTTAAAAGGTTATGACCTTTAACATAGTTAATTGTTGACAGTTTTACTCGTTGATTAATAATGTTCACGGCAGTATGTTTTATGTCGATGTCTGTGGTAAGCGTACGGTATTATTAAGTAAAATAATAGCAATACATTTACACGCGAGACCATATCCGTATTACACGATCACTGCACCTGATTTATTGCAAATATGACAGTGAAATTATTGCATTAAGAAACGCACTAAATTGGTTGCATTGTTGCACTAAGACATTGGTTTGAGACGTTTTTACGATATAGAATATAATTTTTTTGATTTTTCTGTTACAAATTGTATTAAAACGAGAATGAAGAATTTTTTTTAAAAATGACATCGATCTGGCCGCGCATTTAAAGACCGTATTCGAGTTTGATCCCATTGGCTTGACAATACAACTATTATGAGTGTTTAATTGTGTATCATTTTATCTTGAAATTATATATTTTTGCCGAGTTACCAGCAAAAAAACCCTTTATTGAATATGAATTGCCTTTTCGAATTCTAAATTCTTGTTGTCGGTTTAGGTTTAACAGAAGAAAACTTAGTCACGATTTATTCACGAATCCATGCACCGTATGGCTAATATTTACGTCAAATGAAAAACGTCCAATCAGTATATGGACATTTTCAGAAAATTATCCATCGAGTGTACGTCATAATATTATATACGGTCATCGAAATATTATTATTATATCGTCCCTCAATCAAAAATCATAATGAAATAAAAAACTGTTCGTACGAAAATAATGTTCTAAACTATGTAATAATATTGTAAGCACATTATATCGAAATTAAACGTATTTGTAAACGACAAATTATATTAATCACAAACAAAATCATTATTGTATATGACTGATGCACGTCAAATAAATTATTATAGAACAAACAAGACACGCGCATATTATATAATAACTATACGTATATTATGTTATAAGAAAAAAAATGTATATATTTTATCTAAATTAGTAGTTTTTTTTCTAAATATCGTTTGAATATTGAACCGCGCGTACTAAAATTACGATTATACAGTTTAACGGTTTTAAAATTATAAAGTTATATCAATAAATATAACACTACAATGTAATATTTAAACATTTAGAGCATATTTTCATCATGCGATATTGATTATAATAATTGTATAACATTAAAAAGTGTATTATTATTTTTTCAATAAAACACTTACTAGAAAATATCGGCATAACCTGTAAAACTATGTAATGTAAGTCAGTACAATAATTATTGTTCCAAGTTCTGAGAAAGAAAACCAATTGTATTTCCCAATCGTTCTAATAATTACGGTAAATTTTTATCTTACAAATTTATCAGAACAATTCCATTTTCTTTATAAACTATGTACACCCGTGTATTTGTTGAAATTTAGAAAATGCGGATTACTTTACTGAAAATTTAGTACCTATTTTAATATTAACTTTATAATTTACAAGTTCGCTCTAATACTAAAAACGCTACACGAAAAATTTTTCTTACCAAATTTTATCTAGTTTACGCATAGTATTTCATATTTATATGACTATTTGAAATGGTCAAGTTAAGTTATTTTTATGTGGAAAGTTGTAATTATTTTTCATTGGCGTTTAGGTTAAAATCTATAATATGTTTTAGTTACACATAAATATTGTGTTTATAATGTAAATTGATCGAAAAATGTTTTCAAAGAACTCCGTTCAGAATCAATTTTGATGCTTGCAATTATACATATATCAGTGGTTCTTAACGTTTTTGGAACTACGGAACACTTTACATTTTTATAAGATTTTCGGAGGGACAGTCGTAAAATAAAACAGTATTTTTATAGATTATTACATTTATACATTATATTATTATATAAACCTAAAATGATTCAGTACAATATTACACACGTTTTATACTGTTCTAGTTTAGAAGTCGATAAAGTCAAAATGCTACAACGCATTGAAACTAAACATTTAGTTTTACTTCATGGATTTTTTTTTCACCGATTTTAAAATTTTGGCGGAACACCGGTTAAGAATTCACCGTTATATATGATGCCTTCCTGACTTTCAACATAATACAACAGTTGACCACCTACTTCATAATACTACATTCTGTAGCGTAGAAATGGCGATGTATAAAACACCCGTAACGATGTACACTGGATATTTTTGAATAAGACTCATTCGTATATACCTACCACTATAGATGAATAGTTGGCATAAAATTACACGCGCGTTTTTCTATAGTCTCGTGCATTAAGAATGCATTTAAAAATGATTACGGAAACAATAAGGAATTGCAATATTATTGAAATGACATAGAAAGTCGTTTATATTCATTACTATTAATTGAATACACGGTAATAAAACGTGCGTGCTTGACTATATATTATACACTTCCGCATAATTTACATTCTGTAATCCGTTTTATTGTTTACCTACTATACAGGCGCTAATTATAATATTCACTTACGAGCGCAAATAGCTGAAGTAGCGCCAGTGTCCGTCCGTGTCCGTTTAAAAAATACACCGTACAAATCTACAAATCGCGTATATTATTACAAATATTCGTATACAGGTATACGGCGATAATTAAACGGCAGTTATATTATTACACTTATTATAGGAGGAAATGGCCGCCAGCTATTAAATGCACTTGACACTCGGACAATATAATAATAATGTGTGACAATAAAAAATTATAATAATGAAAGTCATTGTTAACAGGTGGCAATAAACCGCGGCGGTAATCTCGGGCATATTGACATAATTATGACGGTACCTAAAACGAGTTGTGAAAAGAACAATCCGAAAATGATATGAGTATTCTAATGAGAATGTGTCGGCACGTTGACCACAGGCGGCGGCGGCGGTCCGTTCATTAAACGAAATAAATTACTAGCGTGTAACGGCGGTGAAACTTGGAGTTTCGTTAATCGTAAATCATCGTAATACATATTATTATATAGGTGTAATAATAAGTGAGACGAGGGGGGCGAACCCGGCGACAAAGAGACCACGGTAATTCTGTTTATATAATCGATTAATGTAGGTTACCTATTACGCAAAATGTTGATGATTTTTACGGTTTCCTAACAAAATCTGAACTCCAAAAGTTTATCAAAATAATTGTGACTCTGGATTTTCAGTGTTCAAAATATTAAAAACTACCATACGCCAACATCTTATGGTGAACCTTTTCGAAAATAGTTTAAAGAGTCAAGAAGAATGGTATAGGTACCCAAATCAAATTTAATAAATATTGAAAAAAATCGAAAATTTAAAATAACTCACAAAAACTTCACTAAAATTCTGAAAATTATACCACCTCTAGAAATCACTCACATAAATATTCGGTGAATATCACCTCGCTAGGATTATTTTTTATCCAATTACATTAAAAAAAATATATATTTTAACTAAAACAATGGTGTAAAATACAAATTCGCTCAGAATCCAAAATAAATCTGTTGTAAAATTTTAATATGAACGATTTGAAAGGTGAAGATTCGTAAGCAGAGAAAGGGGAGGTGATTCACAAACAAACATTTTATAACAACAGTAAAATATAAAATATACGATTACTTTCATTACCCTGCAGAAATGGTTGTTTCTTTTATAATACGCTGTACGAGTTCGTACAGCGTTGACGTTGTACGTTGACGGGTCTTTTACAAATCAAAAATGTCAATAAAAACTTTACGGCGACGGCGGTTTCCATCAAATGGGTTTTCGAAATTTATGATGTATTTAATCCATGCAGCACAATATAATATGTATCATATTATAACTTCTAGAAACGAGTTTGGTAAATTTGAAAATGTGTCTTCATATCGAAGTAAGCTCGCCATCGCCGGATTAAAGGATTTCGAAGCGCGGTGTTTGGTATCTATGTTACTTATACTGTCTACGCGAATGACATATAATTTTCCAGTTTTCACGAAGCATCGAATTCACTCGCGAAAAGTTTTGAATACTTTTATCTAAAACCTAAGTTTTAGATATAATAATTGGTGGCATATATAACTACATTAAATTTCCCCTCTACTGCCTTCCCAACTTCTCACCTATAACAGTGGTTGCACCCGTCACCATTATCCTAGGACAGTTTTTTTTTTTACTTTTGTTTTTATTTTTTATTAGTTTCTGGTTTCCCTCGGTTACACGTACAAAAATACTAAATAAAAATGATTTAATACTAGCCGATTCACTCAGCTTTGCTTTTATAACATAACCTTAATTAATATTTTTTTGGTACAAATATTACGAATCTACAATATTGATACGACTATAAGTATAGTAATGTATCTATGCATTAATTATATTAAATATATATAATTATTAATACATTTTAATTATTATCATTAACATAATGTTATTTTAGGAGATCACCCGTTATAAAAGAAAATAATACCATTTCACATGTATAATTATTATTATTATTCATTATTTCGAAAAGCATTAACTTTTTTGGAATTTGTTTCTTTGGTTATTTTAAGAATTAAGCAGCTCTAAAATGCTATATTTCAATTATTTTTTTGTTACTTTTTTTGGATAAAAACCACTTGAATGATTCACCTACTAAAAACTCCACCTACTTTTAATTTTCGATGGGCAACCTATATTAAAATTTCCATACATAGATCAAGTAAATAGTTTAAATACATTTTGGTGATGAAATTTCAGATGCTATATGCTATGCGAGATAAGTATAATTAGTCTATAACCATCGCGGTAACATAAGGATCCCATCTATAGAGAAACATTTTGAAAATCAGTTTAGTGATTTAGGCGTGAAATGGTAACAGACACACTTTCGTATTTATAACATTTTGGGTGTACCGTACGGTCTTACCCGTGACATTCACGGATCGAAGAGTGTACATTGGTTTTACTGTGATATGTTTCTTTTTCTTGTTATCTATAGCTGTATCCCACGGTTTCCCACGGTTATTATTATAAAATAATGGGAGTGCCAATTTTTAATTTAAATAAATGTGGGGGTAGTCCACAAGGATTAAATGAGTTTAAAAATACTCGAGGATAATGTACCACGCCTTTTTGATCTATGACGGTATCAATAGCAAAGTCAACGCTGTCATCAGGTAATTTAGCCATTATTTTGTTGTTAATGGGGTCAACGCTTATATTCCTGGCAGCTAAAATTACCCTTTCACGCATCCATTGATAATCTTTTTGGTCAATAAGAGCTACATCTGGATACACTTTAAAGATCAGATCTTCAATGTTGGTCATTTCACCAAGGTCTTTATCAATATTGTCTGATTCAGGTACTTTCCGGTCAATAATCAAAATGAGTCTATTTGGAAAATCTAGGCATAGGCATATACAGTTCGGCTCTTTTCGGTAATGCTCAATTCTCGTTAAGTGGCAGCCCTCGACGTCGATCCACCACACCGGAACGCCCGCCCAAGCTATTTCTTTGTTTTCGCTTAATATTCTTTCTGACGTAACGTGATGCTAAATAGCTTATAATCTTCCTCAAAAACTAAGCCATCAATTGCAAAAATCATTTTTCAAATCCAACTGGTAATTCCAGAGATTAGCGCATTCATATAAAAAAAACAAACAAACTCTTCAGCTATACTATACAATAAATTATAGTATATTTTAGATTAAAAATATTTCAAAATAGGTGAAAAGAAAAACAAATTTTGGCTGTAGATCCACGCATCTACGGATCTACGGTTGCCAAAAGACAGCATCTTTTTAGAGAAAACCACTATAACAGAAATGTTCTTAATGCTTTCGATTATCAGTAAGAGTTGATGGTAATTTGCATGAAAGTAAAAGTGTTCCTTCGGTTCCATAGATACGAAGGAAAATGACTGGATTTAATTATGATGTCTCCATTTATTATACAGCTGATTTTCATATTTCTACGGGAACCATAACTTCCAGCTGTAATTACTGTCATCTGGTAAAATGAAAAACAAAGCAATTGGCCTGTGTTGTTCGGTGGAAAAGTTTTACTCGATTAAATTGTTGAACCACTTTAACGACTTTACTATACTTGACATTCATAATAATACGCATGATTTTCTTTAACATATACAAAAGTATAACTCGGTTTTTACAAATATCATCGTCTAGTTTTTTATTCCATAATTTTCTTAAGACTTTTAAAGTCAAACTAGGTATTGCCTAAATTAAACCTCTTATTGAGCTTAGGTCATTATAATTTTGCAGAATGGATCAGTTCAAGTACCTTGGAACAATTCTTACAAAAAACAATGAAATGGCAAAGGAAATAGAACCGAGAACCCAGGCTGAAAATAAATGCTTTTTCACACTAGCGAAGTTGTTAGGAGCTCGATCTCTGTTAAGGAATTTAAAAAAATAGCTACACACTACCTTGATAAGAAAAGCTGTTACATATGTTGCAGAAACTTGGACGATCCGAAAAACCGATAAGAGAGAAAGTTATCGTTTTTGAAAGGAAAATCAAATCCTGAGAAGAATTTTAAAACCTATGAAGAGCAGTGTAACTAATGATTAATAGATTAGGAAAAACGAAGAACTAGAATCTCTAAACAAAAACCAAATATAATTGAAGCATTCAGAAATAAGATACTACAATAAGCAGGGCACGATTGAAGAAACCAAAATTCATTATTCCGCACAGAAATAGAGAAAAATCCAACAGGGAAAATACCCATTGGAAGACCGAGAATGAGATGGGAAGGTAGTAAAGAATGATGTGGAAGAGCTAAAAGTAGGAACAGATAGAAAGGCACGAGAAATTGACTGGGATAGATGGAAAGTTGACGAGAATATATGACGGGATGGGAAAACGGAAAATTGGTACGGTCTAATGTGTTTTGAATAAAAGAAATGAAACAGGTGGAATATTGATACTATAAAATATTTTATTTTCAGTGGTTAAGAAAATGTGTGCTAAATTAAATTAAATATAAAATCACAATACACAACAGCTTTCAATGGTTTAATACTTGAATAGTTAATATACTGAAATGAAATGAATTGTTTCACTTTATATAATACAATACATTGTATAAATATTAAATTGTTATTCATTTAAAACGTATTGGTTTAATTAAATTTGTTATAATTTTTCCCGGAAATTTTAATGTTGTATTTTATGAACATTTCAACCTAGTGATATCTTTTCTTTTTGCTTCAAATTACACACGGATATTTTTTGCACAGCATTAATTCATTTCCTTCTTCAGTTTTAAAACTTTTCATTATAACAAAACTATATGCACGTAATAATAAACTGAACATTGCAGTTCAACTAGGTCGTATGAAATTCGTACAATAACTTTAATCATCGTTATTGAAATTGTCTTATATTAGATTTAAGTTGAGAATTACCACTTAACAGACATACTAATAATAAGGTTTCGTGGGCGAAATAAAATTACATACAGTGTAGATACTTTATGATTATTTTATTTCTCTGTAGTTTAAGAAACTCTGATTTTTAACGACCGTACCTATATTTCACGTTCAAAATGACCGTACCAATTTTCCGACAACCGTCGCAACAGGATAGTCTTAGAGGCCCCCTCCCCGAAAGTCGTCCTAAGATAATGGGAACGGGTGCAGCCACTGTTATAGGTAATTTAATGTAAACCTATAAACAGCAATAAACCATTGCTAACGAAAAAACGATTCTGAATGGAATTCAGTTGATAGTAATGCTTTGTCAACAATATATATATATAATTATGTCATTTTATGGTAAAATAATAAAATAGGCATTATATATTTTCTTTAATAATATTTATTTAATGTACCAATTTTCCGGTTTTACCTACGGCTTTTCTTTGTTTTTTCCTGTTTGTTCACATTTGTTGGAAAAAAATCCCGAAAAATCAAAAATTACCTTTGTAATGTACCTTCCCTGTCAGATTTCCTTTCAGAAAAAGTGCTACCATTGTAAATCGGAACATGATCTACGGTAGAAATGTTATTCACAGAAAAGAAAATAATCATCTTTGTAAAACCATAAGCTTCTTCGCTCCACTCACCAATAAATATTATATTTCATATGATTTATTACTTAGAATAACTCAATATATAAATATTAAAATATTACAAACAAATTCGATTTTAGAATAAAATAAATAAAAAAAAAAATCAATATGATATAAATATTAATAAGTTGGTTAAAAAAAAAAAATAAACATTACATAAATTAATTAAACAATGATAATACAGTTAAGAACTAGCAGTATTTATACATGAAGTCTATCATAGCTCAGTGATAAATTATATGGAACTATAAGTCAATGACCAAGTTTTGTATTCATTCAACTACATCCTTATTAGCTGAATGAATATTTTTTCAAGTATCTTTGAATATGTGGATCAGATATTCGATTATTGTATGTGACATTGTTAGTGTTTCAAATCCATAGTCAAAGTAAGGGATTGTATGTATTTTCCACTTATGACTTATACATCGGGTGTTGCACCTTCTATAGATGATTCAATGTTACCCACATTTTTCTTGGCAAGTTTAAGCCTAGTTGTTTATTTATTGGATGCTTGAATGTTTTATCTGTTAGGATTCTCTGGTATCCTTATGCCATTAAGTATTTCCCGTGACATTCTCTAGTTGTAAACCTTTTGCATTTATCCAGGGTGGTTTACGAGCATTAAGTCGAAATCTTCTTTCAATTGCCCTTAAGTTTGTATGTATCAGCAGGTTCGGATTATTAGAAATATTGATCCATTCTCGAATGAGGGCTTATTATCTTTTTGATGTTTGGAAGAACGATATTACTAAGTACTGTTAGCAATTTACGGGGTCAATTTTAATTTCTCCTATAATCCTTATTTCTGAGGATAAAGATTGGTACACTTATAATGTATGAGCTCTCCTGCGCGGTGGATATAATACATATATATATATTATTATTCCGTATCCAGCCTAAACTCCTACAGATTAGGTCTACTACTTCTAATAATCAGATCGAGAATTTAAAAAGTTTTAAACATTCTCTGAACCGTTCTGTAAAAAACCACACGTGAATTGGTACAGTAGTTTCGGAGATGACCCGTTATGAAAAATACCATTTCAAATGTATAATACATGATACGTATAGATAGTTTAATTTTGTTGTCACGGGCAACGGTTTTAGGGGAATCCGTTAAAATATCTTAAAATTAATGTCTGCATTGCATAGTACTTAATCTCTAAAGTAAGAAACTTAATCTGAGGAAAATATAAAATACGAGATCAAGATCATCCAACACGGAGTCGTTAAATAAAAATAAAAAAAAATAAATAAAGAAACAAAGGAATTTTGAAGAATTTTTACAAACCGAAAAGCGCGGACAGACATGATAAAAATGTAAAAACAACATACACATTCATAGCTCCGCTTTGCAGGATGAAAACGCAATCGTCTGTCAGTAATTAATATACAATGTCAATATTTAAAAAAGATAAGTTCAGTTGATCAAGCGGATTGTCGACAATCCCTGTAAGTATAAACAAACTGCCGTGGGAAAAAAAACTGCGAAAAAAAACATTCGCCCTGCGGAATCGGAATATGTTTTCTCGAGAGAGAGTAGCCATAATAAACGCCGTTTTCGATCAATAACCCGCGTTTCATTTGGCCTTTATAGTGTTTGCCTTTCGTCGTTATTTTATACTCACGGTGGGTGATGAGGGGAGGGAGGTTTAGAAAGTGGAGAAGCCGAAGTGGTCGGATGACAGATCGACGCAGTTTCCCAAGGTTGAGTCTGATGACTAATTGGCTGATTCAGTGTCACTGACACCGTCGCATCGCAACAGGTCGCTGTATAGTCGTCGTGCTCGACAAAATAATAAAAACACCTTATAAATAATAATACAAATAATAATACCCGTATTTCTATTTCCATACCGTAGAGGCGATAAAAAATTACGCATCGCGTACAGCACGCTTCTGGTGACAACGAACATTATCATTTATATTTCAGTAAAAGTATTCGAATATTGCACTAAAACAAATGTATAAATATTTAACAATGTTCAAATCTATAATTCCTTTAAAAAAAAATTCATTCCGTTCCGAGTTTTTTAAAAAATGTACATGCTTTTTCGTTCCAAATTAAAATAAAAAAAAAATAAAGAAATTGTAATATTTAAAAAAACCACTGCTGTAGGTGGAAAGTATGGAAGGTACTTAGATAAGATGCGAGGTAATTTAAATTTTAGTTTATATACTGAAGGCAACATAAATCATTACAATTAAAATCTGATTCTAAGTAGAGAC